CTTAAACTCTTAAACATGAACATTCTTATTCAAAATGCTGAAATTATATAATAAAATTTATATTTATAACATAAAGTAAATATTACTCGTTGGGGAAACGTCCAAGAAGCATCAAAACAACAGCTTTTGAGCCATTTAAATATACATGTATACAAGCTATTAACTACAGGCAACTTAAATTAAGGACTTTAAGAAAACCACAATGGCAATGGAAATTTATGGAGACATACATATAGCTAAACGAAAGGTTTAACAATGAGCAGCACAATGGCTGTGCATGTGTGCTGTAATTGTTGGTACATTTCTTTGCCATCTGCTGAAAAATAACATCATGAAATGACCAAATTCTGCATAGTCTCCAGAACACGAACCACAAAAACTAATCTTTTAATTTTTTTTTAAGTTATAGCTGCATTCCATATTCAGTTTTGAGAGAGTTTTGGCAAGAGTAAAAAACTTCATGACGATTCCTTCATTTAATAATTGAGTTTGTAATTGATGTCACCATCATTGTTACTTAAATTCTCCTTTAATTAAACCATCAGGGCTCGTTAGACAGATATTGCTACTATTTAAGTCAAGTTAACACTTGCAGTTTTGAATTTTTTGAACATAAAATGTTACATGAAAGAATTATTTAAACCATTGTGATATGATTTACCAGCTGACCTTCACCATCTGTCATTGCGACACGCTTGCGCATTTCAGTTTCATTGTCCCCAGGGCAACATTTTTGTGCAGCACAGTTGTTGTCCTGCCCACACTCCAGTGCACACTCGCTATTTTTCTTATCTTCAACAACAAATTCTGGTTGGATGGTCGTGGAGTGGATTCCTTCATTGTGGAAGAACCTCTTGATCTTATTGGCTATGTTCATGTAATCATCTGGAGATCGACACGTAATATGGGCAGATGCTGAAAATTAAAACAATATGTCAATAGTACATCAAGGTCAGTAAAAGAAAGTTGTTAACACAAACACCTTTACGACAAAAACTATGGCCAGGGTAATATTAAGCACTTAATGACTGGCTCCAGGGGAAACAGTGAGTTTTGTTTCCCCAAGACCCTCAATGTTCCCTGAAGCAAAGCCAAGGGGAACATTGAGGTCGAGGGGAAAATAAACTCATTGTTTCCCACTGGTCCAGTCATTAAGTGTAGATGGAAGTTAAGAATGATCATCACAGTAAATTTTCCAATTTAAGCAATTGGAAAGAAGAAGCCTGAAAAAATCAGGGCTTCAACGGGATTCGAACCCGTGACCTCCG